CTATTATGACTTTGGTATCAGCTGCTTTATGCTTAGGCTAATGCTATGCAGATTTTTAATTTTTGATCTATAAGTTTGATTTGTCTCAAAAATACTTTTGTATTATATTTTAGCCTCTTTCCTGTATAGTATACATTTTAATTTACTTGCATAAACATTCCAGAGTAACATTAATGTTGTTTTGTAATAAAAAAAAAAAAAAAAATGAAAAAATAAAAGTTTCATATAAATTTGGACTGTTATGTTACTGGAGTTACAAATTCATAGGAATTTAATTAAATCCACTGGTACTGGCAATTCTCAGATTATGTTTTTATTAGTCAAAAGATTAATTGCGATTAATCGCATCCAAAATCAAAGTTTGTATTTACATAATATATCTGTGTGTACGGTGTATATTTATTATGTATATATAAATACACACACATACAGTATATATTTTGCAAATATTTACGTACATATATTTATATCCATATAATTTATATTATATGTAAATATATCTAATATATAAACAACATCTTTTTCTTAAATATATACTGTACATGCATGGGCGTGTATTTATATATACATAATAAATATACACAGTATACACATACTGTACTATGTGGGGAAAAAACTATTATTTTGGATGCGATTAATTGCGATTAATCTTTTGACAGCAGTAGTTTTTATCAATTTCACAATGATATTTTCAAATAGAATTTCTATAGTTCACGTAAAATTTCTAAAAATTTCTAATTTTTCAAATGAAAAGGGATAGAAAATGTAGTAATAACATGGTAATAACAGTAACATTCAAAAATCTTTGTGCATGCACTCATCAATAAGAATTTATTGACTAGATATGTTTTAATTGAAAAATGTTATGTTTTATGATACTGTTATACGATCATGTTTCTTAATGCAAGTGCTCCCTCCAGTGGTATTCTCGAGGGAGCAGAGAGAGATTAAAAGCCCTTTTTGAGAAAACAGTATTTACATTATACTCCAAACATGCTGCAAAAATAACTATTACTTTTGCTATTACAATGATGGTAAACATGCTAATAACTTGATACTTTTTGTGTCAACGATGCCATAACACCAAATGTTGCATAGCTTATCGTTTTCTCACAATTTATACTTTAACACAGACTAGTAAAATGTATCTGACACTCCTTTACAGGATATATATAGAGCAGGAAATGAAGACATTGGCTAAAATGTCACATGGTTGGACACTGAATCCCTTACAAACAATGGAGAATTGAGCCTTCTCTCTCTCACACACACACACACACACACAC